GTATACGCTTAAAAATTGTTTTAAATATAAAAAAAGGTTTTTTTTTTACTTGAAATAAATAACTAAAATAAATTTTAGTTGTCAACCACTAATGTCGGACGAGGAAGCCGGGTAAGTTACAATTACCGAGTGCAATTCTAAACAAAATCATCATATAATTCTCAAAATTTATTCACTAACTTTTTTTCGTTGTAAGCTCTCCAATTAGTTTCAATCACTTTGTGAAAGTAAACAAATAAAATGAAACTTTTTGATAGGTGAATTGATTGTACACATTTCTGTGTATCAAAAAAAAAAAAAAAAACTAAAAAAGATTTGGAAGCGAAATGTAGATAAACTTTTTTGTTAAAAAAAAAAGAAAGACAATTTCTTCTAAAAATTTATTTTACTTTAATCCCAATGCTCATGGCTCATTAAGCAATAAAAAGTAAATTAACAACAATACCAATCTTTTTAGTTCTGAACAAGAAATTGAGCCGGAGGAAGTTACCCCGGCTGACGACGCTGCAGACGGCGGATTAGCCGCTTCAGAGAGCGCTGACAAGTACTACTCCTATTCTACTTTACCTATGATACTTAGCAATGACAAAAACTTCTTGTTTTTCTGTAGAAAGATACAGATTATAAAGCGACAATTACATAGTCATTTAATTCAGGCAACCTAAAGATAGGAAAGGGAAAAAAGATGGTATAGACAACACAGAAGGGCTTACAGAGGGTGAAAAAGCTATGCTGGTAAAACTTTACAATTTTGGAACAATATTACTTTTTGTGCAATTCTATGCCAGTGAGCTTTAATTTCAAAACGTTGAAAACAAGCCATATATAAATCAAAACTTTCCTCTAACTACTTAACAGGCAGCTAAAAAACGTCAAGAAGAAGAGCAAGCTGCACTGTTGCAAGATTATGAAGAAAAACGACGAATTGAAAGGGAGAAGGAAGAGGAAGAATTGCGGAAGCTGAAGGAGAAACAAGAACGAAGACGACTGGAAAGAGAAGAGGAAGAACGAGAATTCGCAGAAAAGTTGAGACAGGAAGAAGAGCGACGTCGTGCAGAAGAAGTTTGTCTAAAATCCATCAAACTATTGCAATTAAAAGTTTTCTTGTAGCCGGTCAAGCTTTAGGAGGAAAGAAAAGCTCGAGTTGAAGCTGAACGGCGAAAACGAGAAGAAGAAAAACAAAAAAGAAAACAGTTACTCGCAGGCTCATTTGCTAGTGCTATCGAAGGAGGCATGAACAAAGGTAGAAACTTTGTGATACCAAAGAAGACCGAACAAAAAGACAAATTCGACAACATTTTCCAAGTAAGCTAACAGTGAGTGATAGAAAACACTACAGAATTCCCTAGTTTTTTTTTTTTTTTTGAATTGCCGTCCAATTTCTTTTTTTGATATAACGAACAGCAGTTCAACAAATAAATATGGTTCACTGTTTCAAAACTTGCAGTGAAACCCTCGCGGATGTAATCCAGCAACGCCTTAGGAAGTCGCTTCGTTATAGCAGAATTCCGTAATTTTTCGTAAAAATTGTCTAAAAAAATTCAAAGAACACTAATTACTTTATAGGCCAAACAAGAAATGGGCTTAACTCGTGAGCAACAGCATGAAGTTAAAAAAGCCTTTCTGGAACAGGTATCTAAAGATATAGAGTATAAAGGTTTGAATGAAGAGGAGTTAAAAGAGAAGATCCGATGGCTGCACCAAAGAATATGCAAACTTGAAGCTGACAAATACGATTTGGAAAAACGGCATGAACGACAACAGTACGATGTGAGCAAATTACTTAACTTCAAATCACTTTTGAAGCAAAATTTTTATAAAAATTTAAACGCTAAAAAGATTTACTTCTTATTTCTGTTTGGCAGAAGTTGATGCCTTGCGTATGACAGGGTTGCTAGCTTACAGTTGAAAGAACTAAACGAACGACAACGACAAGTATTTCGGAATAATGCTTTAAAGAAAGGCATTGATCCCACCGACGATATCCTCTCTTCACGTTATCCAGTAAGTATTTAGAACACATGATGCAACATTAAAGATCATGGTACATCACCAATTTGAAAAACAGTAACATTTCTCGCCTAATCATTGCAGCGTCCAATAATTTTTAATCACTCAAATTTTGTAGCCAAAAGTTTCGTTAATTAGCAAATATGAGAGGCAAATTGACCGTAGAAACTTTGCTGAACGACGAGCTGTATACGAAAATGTAAGCTGTTGTCGATTTTCACGTTTGTTCAAAGTTTTGTCTTAAATCAGAAAGTTTTTAAAAAATTTTACTTTATTTTCCTCATTGATATTAATCATTATTTTGTTAATAGATTAAAGAAAAATTGATTTAGAAAGATGCTCATCCATGTTTTCCAAATGTTCCTCCTCCGCCAGCGAAATATGAGAAAGTGATTTTGAATGCTGATGGAACTCGACCAGATGAGGTTGGTTAGCACAGGCAATTTCTGTTGCCTGTTGCCCTTCTTTTTTTCTGCCTCAGTTTTAAATGACAAGTAAGACAAGAGTGTTAGAAATAAAAACTTTTGTCCAAAAAAACCTGAATAACAGTTGTGTTGAAAACTGATAACAAAGCCATTTATCAGTTATTGCTATGTACTTTTCTATTCTTCAAAAAAAACCTTTTTAGAAGGAAGGCGAAAATGAAGATGAAAAAGAAGCAGATGAAGAAGAAGAAGAGTGAAAAATGAAAGGAGAGTTTCGAAGATGATCTACAGGTTCTATTTATCATCAGTAACACGTTGAAAATCCACACTTATGCAAAAAATCAAATAAACTAATTGAGTTGACCAATTTTTTTTATTTGTGTTCACGACAACTGTCATTTTTCTACAGAGCTTATGCTTTTGAAAAAAAAAAAAGAAACAGAACAAAAACAACAATATATATATATATATATATATATATATATATA